AAAGAGTGTGAGGACATCTCTGTTACTCTTAGATCTTTATTCTGCCTTAAAACCATATCGCATGACTCTAATTCTTTGAACATTTGATCAAATTCAGCTAAATATTCCTCACATTTCTCTCACTTTCTTATACAGTTTATGCACCCAGAATACACAGTGTGTTTACAGGTTTGTCTCTCTGAATGAGCGAAAAGATCTAGGCCGGGCCAGGTAATTGAAACCAATTGGCACATGGAATGCAGAAGGGGAAGGCATAACGCTGAGCAGTAAAGAGGGAGAGATGGCTGAAAAAATATCATTTACACTGCTTCCAGTTACAGCCTACACAACTAAACAACCAAAGAAGAGAAGGTCAGAAGAACAAAAATTGAAAGAGAAGGACTATGATCATGCAAGGTCGAAGACACGTGTAAACATTGGTGCTGCTTTCCAAAGATGGAGGGAGCACCAGGATTTCAAGTGTGTACAAAGCACATGTCCTGCTTGCAGGCCTGGACTACAACCGTCATGTCCACAGGCCTGCAAGGAAAAACAGAGTTGGTTCTTTGGTGTATGTGACACCCAGTTAGTTTACTAAACCACCAACTTGCAAGTATCTGTAATTACACCAGTGCAAATCAGAAGAGTTATCATTTACAAATTATTGTGTGTTTTATCGTTTTTCTAGGTACTGCAAAGTATGGAACAAAAAGTCCAGGAGATGGACCTTGTTTACTGTAAAATTTCAGCTACAGCTACTGTAAAACTACAGCTATATTCCAGACCTGCAGAGTGCCATCGTGAGAACACATCTGGCTGATGACAAAGGGATGCCAAGAAGAGGAGTGATGCAGCCCTCAAATTCTGGAGCAACAAGTCAGCAGAAGCCTTGGCACCTGTAAACTGATACACTTGACTGGAGCAACACACCTGAACTAACCAGCAGGTCTTATCTAAAAAGAGACTGCAGGAGGTGCACTTTACTAACTAACCAGATCCAAGTAGGAAGGTTTCCCTTATGGACATGGAGATAACATGAACCTAGGATTTTGATATTTGTTTTCCTGAACCTCAGGCTATTTTAAATAATATTTGTCCTAAAAAAGATTCATTCTTAAATGTGTATGCAAACAAATATATCTGTCATACATGTTTCTCTAAACAGGTAGTTCCTAAACTACTGTTGTTTTTTTTGGCACCACAGGTACGAGACAAGAAAAAAAAAATCCAGCAGTATACCAGAGCAGCAGTCTCCAAATCAACTTGGTGAATGAAAAAGAAACGATAGTATCTACATCTACAGTAGATCTGTTATATTTAAATTTTACTTGTTATTTATCAATGTTGTACGTGGTAATTCTTCCAAGCATAAAGTGGACATGTTTGTAATCATTATCGTTACAGTAAGTGTAATAAAAGTTACAGTTTTGTAGCATACTGTCTGTCATGCTTTTGGATTCGTATAAAAAATTTGGTTTGATCATTTTTAAGCAGTACAATTTAATACAAACCAATTCAATGCAAAACATTTTTGAAAGCTCTGGCACTCTGAACTCATTATTCAACTCTGGATTGTTTAAATGCTGTAATGATGTTGTACTGCAGTACACTGAAAGTTGTTTTTTTTTGATGGTTCCAAGAAAGGGTAGAATGTGTATTAGTTTTAACCAAAACAATAGGACATCTCAAAGATATAGGACACTACATTGCAGTGCAAAGTAGAACATGAACAAATTACATGAATTAAAATATAGGCATTCACAAAGCTATTTATACAAGGAAGCAGTATGGTGCTTCAATGACAGTTACAATTTCCTGGGAATGAATCCTTGGTACAGTACCTGGGGATCTATATTTCTGTCTAATCCTCCACACACACAGCAGGAGAGTATCACCACCTGATTATACTGCAACAGGACAGTTTACTCATATGCATCATACCTACACCGTCTGTCATCTTCTCCTGGATTTGGATAAGCATGGAATGAATTAATGTCCCCTAATCTCCTGGTCAAACTCTAAACTCCATCGCACAATTGTGAGCCTGTGTAGAAATGCAGGTTTAAGGCCGTTAGTGTCAAAACTTGCTTTACACCTCTGGCAGATACACCACTGGGGGTGTACTGGGACAGTGAGTGCATTAGGTGCTTGTCTGTCCCTATTTCTAATAATGAGGAAATCAACAAGGCTGAGGTCCCAGGTTTGGCAGGTCTGCAGGTGCAGGTTATCATTGCTACTCCACTGGCAATGTAAAAATGAAAATAGAACTCTGTGATATCTCTATTCAGAATGACATACATTATTCTGCTTATAAACATATTCTACTTATAAATGTCAGGTGAATGACTTGAATACAAAAAATAAATAGTAACTGCCAAAAAAAATACTACACTAGTGTAATGGGTCCACCTAGATAATAAAAGAGACATACAGTAAGCCTTCCCTTCCTGGAGGTGATATTTGGTGAAACAGTTTCAGAGGTACTGATTCAACTGTATGATCAGTTTGGAGGCGATTTAACTATATTTCACTATACAGAGAGGCACATCTGTCATTTTGTCTAGCCTCACAATGAAATGAACAAATAAAGAAATCCTTGTTGTCAACATGATAAAATACACAATCTGGAGGCTCCATAAGGATCATAATTCATAAGCACCCACCTGAAAATTCTAAACACTAACTGAGCATTTATAACATTTATAAAGGGAGGGTTTATTTACTCGACAACTGTTTGTTGAAATCACAGAACGGCAAAACTTGTCTGTAAAATTATCAATTGCTCTATTCTGTTTCACAGTTTTGTCCCTGTTGGGATCATGTAGGAATGACGACGCCATGTTTCCAGTGATCTGGCCGGCATGTTGACAGGTGTTCATAGCAGATTACCCTCCTACAGAGGAGGTTTTCCGTGTAGGTTACGATGGTGATCTGCTCCGGTTTAAAGTGAGCCGGGTTCGAGATAATTAGGAAAAACTGACTTAAACTAGCTGGAGTTTCTACAACCAAAGACGAATGTAGTAGGTTGAGAGAGTAGCCGCCCTCTGGTACTTCCTTCTTCGCTTTAAAGCCACGACTCAGACGCAAGAGAACCGCTATAAACACGACCATCGGTGTTTCACTTTTCATTTTTAACACCAGCAGTACGACACTATCAAAACCGCCTAGTAATCGGGCGATTTGGTTATAGGTGTAAAATTATTAGTCTTAAAAATGAGCAAGAGTAGATAAAGGGAATAACTATCGATGAATAAAGTTGAATTTTTCTGGTTTCTACGCTTGGGCAATGTTTGGGAAATGAACTCGCCATATAATGTGCTTTTAGGCAGCATAATGACGTTTTTAGTCTAATTTCTCCAGGATGCTATAATTAGATGAAGTACCTTAATTCGGAAATTTTTTTTAACTTAATTTAGTTCGATATTTTATTACCTAAAGATGTGGTAAAGCATATACAGGTCTAATGATAATAGTGTAGTGAAGATGGAGAGGTTTAATGATGAGATAATGGTTTCCAAATTAATTATTCTGTGAAGCATGCTGCCATAAAATCTTCCCGTTTGTTTTTGTACAGGATTTTACTTCCACATAGCCCAGCATTAAAGCACATCTAATTGCTTTAAATATATGAACATTAGAAAATATCTTGTGATAATAACTGAAACCAAATCACACATGATTTGACTGGCATTCCCCATTTGACAGCAAAAAAAGGAGGAAAATTAAATATTATACTAACTCATAGCCTAAAAAATTAACTATAGTAATATCAAACTTATTTTGGGTTGAAAAACAAATGAAATATAAATATAGGTTACAATAATACTGTCTTACAAATTATTGGAAAGAGAGAAAAAAACAACCTAAAAGAGGGAATGGGACTTTTCTTTGTGGGTAATTTCTTCTTGTCTCGAGTAATCCTCCTGTCATTTCTCCTATCTTTGACTGAGTGAGCCGATTGCGGTGGATGTGAAACGGACGGTGCGACTCTCGGGTTCACAGTCGTTCCTCTCTCCTCGCTGTTTTCATGTGCAGGCAGCTGACGGTGAGGACACCCAGCATCACCGGGAAGCGTCGGAAACACTGAAACCCGCCTGGTAACGGTGACGGTGCCGTTTCTCTTTCCGTGTCTCTTGGTCGCATACATGAGCGGAAGAGTAGGAGACCTCAGTCCTAAACAGGCTGAAGCACTAGAACTGGTGAGTTTTATAATAACAGGAGCCTTAAGAGCGTTTCATAACAGGGCTGATGCATTCTCTCACTAAAACATGGTTTCTCTCAGACTATAAGGCTCCAACATTGTCTCTAGAGATCTACAGTGTCAGCTTGTGGAGTGACAGATTGTTTTTCGCCGAATTCACTAGTCATCAATTTTAAAAAGTTTTGTTTCCGAATTGAAATGGGTTATTGTTTATAGATGCCGAGGCGCCGAATTCAAATATGACCTTTAAAAAAAGCTGGCTGACAAGAGTTTAAAGATATTTAACCGTTTATGTTTCATGCTAATGTGCAGAAAGAACCTGACAAGTAGCTAAAGATAACGACGCCCTTTGACTTCAAGAGAATATGAGCTGATAACAAAGAGCTGGATGTCTTCAGCTGGAATACGAACGTAATAAGCGCCTTAGTTAAATGGAAAATGTGAGGCTTGTGCCTGAGAGACAGTCCCAGCCTGATGGTTCAACTAGGAAGGTGAATTCTTACAATTTCCTTTGTTTGACCAAAATGTCCAAAATTACCCCAAATATTAAATTTACAGCGAAGAAAAAGAGCAGTTTCAGATTTGAGAAGCTGAAATCTACAAAATTTTTATTCCCCCCCCCACAGGTTTTGTTTAAAAAATAATTGAAACGATTAGCATTAATTTTGTCTTAATCAGTTAATATTTTAGCTGGAAACTATATATACACTTTGTACTTTCCTGCTGCAGCTAATTAGATGGGAGAGACCACTTAGGCAGAAGCAAGACAATACAACATAATACAGATTTTACGTAAACCAGCAGGATATATAAATAGAACCCAAGAAATAAATACTCACATAAATCTGGATTCCTATAAATAATTCAGTGTCACATATAGACAACATACCTACACAAATCAGCATAGCTTCTGCTTCTACTCTCCTCCCTTGTTACAAATGGTTTACTCCTAGACTTGGTTGGGCAGGCCTCCTCTTTTGGCCCCATGTCCTGCAGAGGGCACAACAAGGAACAGGTGAGTACTATCATTACCTCCATTAGCTGAGTATATACTGCTGGATAACCGTGGGTACTGGTTTTTCTTTGTACGTAGGCACGATGGCCAGTCCTCGCTGTGCTTCCCTCAATCACGATCTGCAGCCTCCAACAGTAAACCAGTGTTAAAAATGGTCCATTAACTGAATAAAGAACCAATATCTGAGTGCAACTATTCATTCACCATACAGCGTGCTGTGCCAGCCATATGTGTAAAGTAATACTAATGTGTCATGTACTACAGGTTAGAAGTTTTATAACACCACAAGTTTTCCCAACAGCCATCACACTTGTCTCATTCTCTCTACAACTGAACTCAAACACTGTTGGGACAGACAGCACTGCTGCAGATGTTCCCACAGATGTGTTGCACTTGCAGGCTGCTTTGCTTTCACTTTTCACCTGGAAAGTCTGGACACTGTGCTGGCGTTCCATCATATGAAGCCGACTGTTCTGTTCTTTTCTTCTACACAGCCTGGAGGTGTTTGTGGCTCCTTATCCTACTATAGGATGAAACCCTGAAAAGCTCTGACCTCCTTTGTTAAGGGCCTTTATTTTTCAAATAAAGCTTCAGAGGGTGTGGTAACAGTCTTTTCCAGCACTGCCTTATGGACAGAATCAGTCACCAACAAAAGTCGGGACACCTGTAGAAATAGTTTGCATCAGTTTCCAAGGATTCATGTATTTCCACTGCTGCAAAAAGATGTGGGTTAACCTGTTATTGGATCCCTGAAAAGGCCTGTTTTACATGAAATGTACATATAGTTTTAGTTATTGGTGACTTTTTTGTACCTGTGGCGGCTTACCCTTGTACCATTTAAGGATATTCACTGAACTGCTTACCTGAGGGTGGCTGTGGCTCAGGAGGTAGAGCGGGTCATTTCCTAACCGGAGGATTAGCAGTTCGATTCCCGGCTTGTACAGTCAACATGTCGAGGTGTCCTTGAGCAAGACACTGAACCCCCAGTTGCTCCCGGTGATGTCACCGGTGTGTGAATGCGTGAGTGCTCGGGAGTGCGAATGGGTGAATGGCCGAATAATGTGAAAGCGCTTTGAGTGTGCTGTAAAAGCATAGACAGGCGCTATACAAGTATAAGACCATTTACCATGTCAAGAACTGGAAAAATGTGAGTGTTCTAAATGTTTTGACCAGTAATGAACCCTGTTCTCATTACAATCTCACCAATGCTCTTGCAGCTGAATGGGAGGAAATCCCAGCCTGCTTCCAAAATCTAGTAGAATGTCTGAAACCAGGAGACTCGAGGCTTTCATAACAGCAGTTTATTGCACAGGGTTTTGGAGTTTAAAACTCCAAATATTTACTGGTTGCAGCCTCTCAAGTTTGAATATTTGCTGGTTTTCCTCATCCTCTATACAGTTTATATTAGGCTGCATGTCTTTAGACTGTGGGTTACAAAAAACAAGCAATGTAAATATGTCCGTTTGGGAACACTGCGATGAAGAATTTCACAATAAGACAAATGATTAATTTTTCCAGCTATAATGCTTTTGTCCATATACTTCTGGATGTGTAGTTGGAATCTAAAATGTGTTGACATGTGGGCTCTTAATACCCGTGCATACCATGTTCTCAGTCATCAGACACTGGACATGAGTCACCCTGTCACAGGCTTCAGCAGCATAATGAACTGAAACCAACCATCTGAAATGAAACGCCCCACAGTGAAAATATAAACGGCATCAATCAGAGAAAAGTACTGTAATACCTTCAGGCTTACAACTGTAAAGATGAAAGATTTCTCTTTAAAGAAGATCTCTCTCTGGTATTAAAATCCCCTTTGCTGCTGCTATGTAAAATTTGCATGTCTCCTCTCTACTTCCTAGTTTCGAGAGAGAATACAAGACGTTCTTCCTCAGCTTCCTGCACAACATGACCACTTCCTGTTGCGCTGGCTCCGGGGTGAGTTGAAAACAACTTGGCACCTACTGCTCTTTCCTGATGGCACCCTACACTCAAAAAAGGCAACAAACTCTCCCATAATCCCTAAAAGAAAATCTGTTGGATTGATGTAGTTGTGCAATAATCAGAAGCTGCTCTGGTTTATTACATGAAAAGACATGATGCAACATGCCTCAACATGCTGCTCTAACCACAAATAGGAAACCAAGCCTGCTCTGTGGTTATTCAGCAGCTGCTACACCAAACCATGGATATTTCAGATTTGGTTTTTGGTCTTTTCACTTTTGAAGATATTTTTAACCAATTTCCAGACTGATTTTCCACAGATAGGTTCAGGTTGAACACTCAGACTGCAGAAAATTAAAAGAAGTGATTAAAGGAGGTCTTGTTCTGATTAGTCCCAGGGCAGTCATCTAGCACTCGGCGTATCAGACTAATCCAGAGCTAATCGCATTAAAGTTGCACAGCCGGTCTGCTGTGTTTCTGTAGCTCTCCAGGGTTCATGTTCGGATCTTGATGACAGTCAGGGATTGTTTTTGAACAGGAATTCAGAGCATCAGTGAGGGCGTACTCTTTAATGAGGCCTTACCAAATGTCCATGGCAGTTGTAAAATATCTGCTACGCCTCTCAGAGAAGTCAGTATCACAGCTCCAAACGCAGCCAGTGAAGGTCTGTTTGGACAGTGGCTGCTCTGAATGATTTGAGTTATGTCTCTTTCAGTGTGAATGTAAAGATGACAGCCATTCCAGCTGTGGAACTGTCTGGTTCATTGATTAAAAGCCTGAGTTGGCTCAGTGAGCAGTGATGATTGACCTCATAATGATGTGGATCAAACCATGTGGTGGATTTTTTGTTCTTCATATATTCACACAGGTTCAACTCCCCGTTGAGTCTCAGTACAGTACAGTCAGAACATATTAGGACAGTGACATTTGTTGTACTTTCGAGCCTGTACTTCCTCCTGTATATAGTTTTCCATGGCAGAAAAGAATTCAACAAATAAGCTTTGGCTGTGAGTCCCTGGCAATAAACTGATTAATTCTACTGAGAGCTGCATATGCTGAAAACATTTCCAACTGTGGGTGCAAGTCTCTCTCTGTGGCTGTGCCCTGAGCTAAATGGGAGCTAAAGGTACTTCACCACAAACTGATACCAACCTACTGTACCAGTGTGTTTGGTTTTTGCATACTTTTATGAGTGAAATAATGAATGTCAAGTTTTCAACTATGTGATGGAGCTAGTTTCTGTTCCTCTCACATGACAGAAGATGAAACTAACTTGAGGCCAATGACCTTCCTCCTTTTCATAGAGGCAGCAATTAAACTGTTTTCTGCCCACAGATTGTTCTCACACTGACTAGGAACACATTTATCTTGAAAGAGATAAACAGCAGGATTAATGACACCACTTGAATCTGTGTCTGTCTTTATACTGTCAGTGCCACTGTCCAGATTTTATTTCAGAGTTCAGCAAAAAGAACCTTTGAGCTATAAGACATTGCTTACAATCAAGATTTGTGCCAAAACATCTGAGGCAATAAATTAATTCAACATGCCTTATTAAATCTTGATTACATCCAATTCTGTTATTTTGGTGAACTCCTGTTCATTTTGATTTTCTCTTACTGTCGATTTACTGAACCATGCTGCATTTATTAGTTTAATACACATTTCCCTTTTTTTTAAGGGGAAGTTCTATTTCTACAGTCTAGATTTACAAAAAATACATTTTAAAATGTTGCTTATAGTACAGCTGACTTGTCTAGACACCTGATCAGTCAGTAACAAGATCTCTTTGTTGCTAAAATCATGTCTGAATTCTGAGAATTTCTCTTTGAAGTTTCAGTATTTTTGTATTTTATTTGAGAGTTTGAAACCTAGGACACAATGCATTATATGTCCAAGTTTCATTAAAGCTGATGCTGGTTTCAAGTTTATCATTAAATATTCTCAGGTAGTAAGCTGCACGAAAAGTTCTCATACCAGACATGAGCTATGTTATAAAGCTTTATCACAGCTTCAGATAACATTATAGGTTATAAAAAGGCAGCCCTGGCAATGTACAGTGTATGTGGCTAGTAATTAAAGTGTTAAACTTGTACAACCACTGTTATTATTCAGTAAAAGGAGGTGGTCAACAGTTATTACTGTCCTAGAATGACACATGACCTAGTCTCCTGCCCGATCCTGCTTTATGTTTTTGTCATTTTGAGTCCCCTCAGTGCCCCCGAGACCCCAGTTAAGGTGCCAGAATGGAGCATTAGCTACAATAGATCCACTGCTTGTGTAAGTGATATGCTTCACTTCATGGCCACAGCACTGTTATGCTTTTCCACCAGACTGCCAGCTGCAGAGCTAATCAGGAGTATTAATCAGTGGATTGTGTCCACCCTGTTCTGTTCAGAATATTAGAAAAGAAGACTGCTTTTGGATGTTAAGTTCATTCACGGAGGGTAACAATGAAAATGTAACGAGATTTTATATTTTTATTCATTGTATTTAAAAAATGTCCCCATTTGTGTCACAAGGAGACTAAGAACATAAGACAGGATTTGGTGGCATCAGTATTACTGTGTTTTATGAAACGGTTGAACTATGCACACCAGGCGGCTTTTTTTATTTCTTCTTTTAATCCAATTTAGCGTATAATGCCAGACATTGTGCCAAAGTGTTATTGTGTAAATTCTCCCTGACACATTCGCTACACACTTAAGAGATTAAAGATACACAGTTATGTCATAAAGTACCTTTTCAAGAACTGTCATTGCAGCATGTGATTAATTGTTATGACCTGGTTCTTTTGCATAATAATTCATTTAAATCATAATTTTTTAATATCAAGTGTGATATGTTTTGTAGTTGTTGTTTGTGGCTTTTCTTCACTTTACAACTTTATTTTCCTCCCTTTTTGTATATTTTCCTCTGTCACTTTCCTCCTCTAAATTCATTATCTGCAAAGTGCCGTGTTATTCAAGTTTCTTACTTGATTTACAATATTAGTTATAGAGACTATTCAACATTTAATGTTACTCACTGGCCTCTGTATTAATTGTCTGCCCTCTTCACTGTCTTTACTCTTTTTCAGCTAGAAACTTCAATGTGCAGAAATCTGAGGCCATGCTGAGAAAGGTGATCAACTTGATTTCTGTTTTGTGGGAAAATATGCCTTAAAGCTGCATTAACCAACTTCTCACTCTAATTGTCAACCATTAAGGGCGAAGTGAGAGTCAAAACAAACTCAAGCAGTATCCCCTCCTCTTCTCCCTCCTCCCCAGCAATACAGCATATAGTGTTAATGTTTCGGCCACTATCGCCTCTCCGTCTCTGACATCCCAGACTGACGTTAACCCTGGTTTTGCCTTGTTCTTTGTCACGGTCTTTCTGTACTACAGAACATGGCCTCTTGGGTCTAACAGGTCCTGGGTTGTACCTGCACTGGTAGCCTCCATGGTCTGTCTTTGAAATAAGCCATACTGGTTTGGGAAAAAAAAAAAGCCTCTTATAACCTCGGATCAGCGGGGGCGCAGAAGTGCGGTGCGGAGAAAACACTTCTAGGCTTTTTTTTTTTTTTTTTACTTGATTTATCCCAGTTTGTGACAAATCTTAGTTAATGTAGCTTTAATAATCCATTAGTGAAGCATACAAATCATATAGTGAATTGAAAGCTGAGGTACAACATTGCCTTCTCTTTCAGCAACTAATTTGTGTTGCGTGTCAAAGTGCACTTAGCTCCTGCACAGACCATTAACTCAGAAGTGGCCACAGATTAGAGAGGAGCAGTGTGATAATGTCTGGGGAAACTTAGTCATCACAGCAGCCTGAGGAGATAAGAGGTAAAAGGGATTAAATGAGGCCTCAGGGTGACAGATTCAGATTTACAGCCACCTAACGTAAAGTACCATTAACAGATATTTGTCCCCTAGGGGGCAGAAGAACTCCAAACCGAGCTGACATTTATAACAACGCTGACATACTGTTTGTCGTTTTATAAATGTAGGTATAATATACTTACAGTCGCCTATTTACAACACTGCCTTTTATTTGGAGGCAGGTTTGTGTTATCCTAACAAATCTAATAAGTTTTCTCTCACTGTAGCTCTGCTTTGGTCTCCACCAACCCCTGAGAGAAACACAAGCCTCTTTAGTCAGTAGATGTTTCATTGTGTTCACCGGCTACTCTATAACTTGAGAGAGCTGAGAAAGAACCAGACAAATATTTACTGAAACAAAGACAGAGCTAAAATACGCTGCGATGCACCAAATATTTAGAAGTCAAGGGTTGAGTGTTTCATTTTATATTTTAAATGTAGCCTGTTTAGAGTACAAAATACACACCAATGCCTGTAATTTGTACTATTTAATTTAAGGTATAAATTATTATTATTATAAATTCAATTATATGTTTATTATTGAGATCATACATGAGAGGGTCAGAATATTAGGAACACCTCTGAATATAATGTAGCCCAGTACAACACCACCTTTGACTATGAACTCAATAATAAACATATAGTTGAATGTATACATTTATCACAATTTCACCCAAACATTGTGAGCTTCCTAAACACAGATGTTAAGGTGCAAGTGTTGCATTGAAGTGCATACAGTTGTACTTATAAAGTGGTCAGTGAGGATATATCAAAATGGCTTCTGAGACAGGTTGCCAGTTTGAAACATTTCTTTCCTTTTTGCTGGTGCGTCTGTGGTTGTTAGCATGTGTTTGCACATACAATAAGTATGTAGTGCAGTGT